TCTAAGTGATTCTAGCCTCTTTGCTACAGCCTTTCTCTTATTTCCCTTCTCAGTGGTGCTTACTCCTTGAGCATCACTCTCAAGCATACTTGTTTTATGACTTGGAACCACTTCCTCATTTTTAATACCAGAACTAGAGATGTGGCTTTTAGGACTTGGAGTTTCTTTACTGCTTTCTGGTGCTATACTCAAGATGTTGATCTCCTTCACTAATTTCTTTTCTTCTAAAGAATACTTTTTGTTTAAGCATGGTGGTTGCATTTTCTTGATGAAAGCATCATTATCCTCAGTGTGGCTAGTTGTAGTAGATACAAGTTCAGATACCTTAAGGTCCATGTTGGTTTCTGAACCATCATTTTCTTCATCATTAAACTCACTTTGCTGAACTCTGTAGGACTTGGTCAACCATATTTTATTAACCATATCATCATAGTCCTCTACTGTATGAAAACTCCTACTACGTACAGCACCCTTTGAGCTCAAGTCATGTTTATCTTCAAAATCAGATAAATTCTCCTGAGAAAGAGAGTGAACAATATGCTGTGGAAACTGGTGCCAACTTTTGGACCTCTTTTTCTTACCATTCTCAATTTGTTTCCCTCCTTCTTGGCCTAGCCTTGCTGATAGCTCCAACTTCTCAATAGTTTCAGAACTAGCATGCTCAATATCCAGTTTTTGGGACGAGATAGAACTATAAGAGTGCAGTTTGTTGGACACTGTGTTAGCTGCATAGACAAGAGCAAGGTACTGGTCATTGCCACTAGTTGAGATGATTAAATCTTCCAGCAATGGAATGCCATTAACTGTTCTCTGTGATCTTTGCTTTCTCTCTTCATGGAAACTGATTGATCTGGCTATGACTTTTGAAGAAATGCACCCCATGGTAAGTGGCTACGGCACTTCTGACAAGGAGGAAAGGAGATAGAAGCAACAAGACTTGCAGTAATCACAACTCAGACATAGGATGCTGAAATAGAAAACTGGGATTCACAAACTGGAAACAAATTTCTAGTGAACATAACATCTGAGTTATTTAAGTGGCATATATTTAGACAAAGAATGTTAGTACATAAGCAGAAAATAAGCAAACTCTAGACTATAGGATGCTGACATAGAAAACTGGGATTCAAAAACTGGAAACAAATTTCTTGTGAACATAACATCTGAGTTATTTAAGTGGCATATATTTAGACAAAGTATGTAAGTACATAAGCAAAATAAGCAAACTCTAGAGGATTAAGTGGGAAATCCTTACCAGTAGAAGTTGGTGCCCAACCTCAAGTCCACACCTACAAAAGATACAGAACTGGGGTCACAAGGTGTTTAATCCCCGGATACTACAAAGCAGAAGACTCATAGGCTTTGGCCTTTGGTAATACATGCAATGGTATAAACCTGAAACGAGAAACTTTTGAGGTGAAAGAGAAATCCAGCATGAAACACTTTTCAGCTGTGCTTTAAAAGCAAAATCCAGCATTACACTTCGGCACATCTTTATTTTATTATCTCAAGTACCCTGAAGCCTAAAATCTAAATACTAGCTCTTGATTACTCACTGCAATATTTAGACTTAACAAGTGGAGCCAGATTTCAAATTGTTAATCTTTGTTGTGCTTGGGGAATGACAGACATCAAGGCAGAGAATTGGTTAAGGACTAAGTGCTCTGCTGTCATCTACTTCTGCCTTTGCCATGTATGTATTAATTTATGTTCATTGCACAATGCTCCATGTTAGCTGCATAAACAATCTTATTTCCTATCCGGGTTTTGAGCAAAAGATGATTTTTCCATATAAAAAGGCTAAGAATAGATTAATAATATGCACAGCTTTTCTGCCAAATCATATAAAAAAAGATACAAAGAATGTTTTCATGTGTTACATTAACTTAATTGGCTTACCGGAGTTAGATGCATCACTTACTGATCTTCAATTCTATCTCTGATTCTGCTTTCTCTTTGCATTTTATTCAAGGTTTGGACTTTGGAAATAGTCAGGATAAGGTAGCTGCAAGAAACATATCATTTAATAATCAAATATGGGCTTGGCCCCATTATTGATTTTAAAATTCTAAGTTTGAAATTATACACCTAAGGAGGGTGTATTAAATAATGGTCCATAGTCTTTCCAGCATAGTCTTCCCGATCACGTCAATGCTCGTATTAATAACATCCTTCCTCCTTCGGATGTTAATGGTCATGACCGAATTTTGTGGACAAGGACATCTGATGGGAGTTTTTCGCTGAAGTCCGCTTATATGGCCATATCCAGGGGTAACGAGGAATCTACCAATTTACCTTGGAATCGCGTTTGGCAGTGGCATGGACCTGAACGGATTCGTACGTTCCTTTGGCTATTGTTAGGAGATAAAATTTTGACAAATGAAAGGCGTTGCAGACGGCACATGGCGGGTTCAGATATATGTCATCTGTGCAATTGTTTTACGGAAACTTCCTTACATGCGGTTAGAGATTGTATTGCAGCAAAAAAAGTGTGGGAGATTGCAGTTAAGCGAGAGGCTTGGGAGGATTTTTTCTCTCTTAATCTTCAGCAATGGGTGTTGTCCAATATCTCTGAGGATCGTAATTGGTCCAATTTGCCATCATGGCCTCTTCTGTTGGGTATCATTTCCTGTTTCATTTGGCAAGCTAGGAATAAGAAAATTTTTCAGGGATCTTCTGTTCCTGCTTATGGCACTTTTAGAGCTGCTATGGTCTATGGTGAAGATTTTTCTTGGTCAGAAAACACGCTTCGGGTTGCTGGTCTTGAGACTAACTCGAATAAAGAGAAATTAGTTTCTTGGGTTTTTCCTTCGGACCCTTGGGTTAAGCTCAATGTGGATGGGTCAAGTATGAATAATGGAGAAGCTTCTGCTTGTGGGGGTGTATTTAGGAATGCTAGTGGAAGGTGGCTTGTTGGCTTTTGTAAAAATCTTGGCTGTGGTAATGTTTTGTTAGCAGAACTTTGGGGTTGTCTCCTTGGGCTTGAGATTGCATGGAGGAAAGATTTCCGTTTTGTCTGGCTTGAAGGTGATTCCTTAGTAGCCCAGTTTTTCATAAGAGAAGGGTGCAGCTCTCATCATCCAGCCTCTAACTTGGTCTTGCGCATAAGGAATATGCTGGATTGGAATTGGAGGGTTAGAATTTCCCATATTCATAGGGAAGGGAATGGGGTTGCCGATTGGATGGCCTCTTTTGCCTACTCCTTTGATTGGTCTTTACAAGAGTTTGACTCGCCTCCTTCTGGTTGTCGTGACAAACTTGAAAGGGACTATGTAGGAGTAGTTTGGTCTAGGAAGTGTTCCTAGTTTCTTTTTTTGTTTTTATGTTTCCTGTTTGCTTTTCAAAAAAATATTTACTACCACTACCCCATCAAATGCATACATCAATTGTAGAAAAAATAAATTGGACAGCGGAGAATGGGTCCATCAGTGTCCCTAAAGGCTCAAGAAAACTAATTCCAGTTCATACATGATTTGCTAATTATATTGACTTGCCAGTTGATGATGATATGCTGCAGTTTTCTATGTGTATTTGTCTTTCCTTTTCATATATTTTTCTCTATCTCATTTTAAGAAGGGGTGAAAAATAAGTTGTCCTTTTTTAATGGGATGTCCCTTGTCATTTGAATTCTTTTTAAGTTTTTCATGTAATACAGTTGGACAAAAAAGAAAAATAAATAGACATAAAAATTTTGCATAACAAGTTTCGTAAGGTGTTGTTGATGTTAATGTTGAAGTTTCATAAGAAGTATCTTTTATTTGGATTCAACTATCATCGATCCCAATTAATTTAAGATAAAAGTGTTATTGATGTTAAGTTTCTTATGGCCACATTTTAAGGTTATGAATCCTGTGCCCTACTTTACGTGAAGAAAAAGCTAGTTACACAAAAAATCAAACACATATATCACACAAAAATTAAAAGGCAGCTTTTGCTTTTGATAACAGAGAGAAAGACAATAATGAATGACGTCAGTAAAATATAAATAAGATCTATATTGAACTTTTTTTTTTGTTTGTGCTACCATCATTTTTCTTTACATAAGCTTTATGTAAGATTTTTTATATGAAAAGATTATGTGGAGTTTATTTTTTCTGTCATAGTAATTTTACACATTCTAGATGTAAAACTAATCTCAGGTGCACCAAAATTCATGCACATGACAAAATTTATATAACTAGGTGCAATGATTAGAAACTTATACAGAACCATGTTTTCTATCTTTACGTAACAAGCTAAAAAACTGGAAAAAATTACCAACAAAGTCCAACACAACAGTCGGTAGATACTTGGGTTCTTTAAATATAATGACCCTAACTGGTAAATCTTAGTTATAGATTTAATTTAAGGATTTAAATGCCATAATTAGATTCAGTGAGCAATTTCGAGTATTTTGACTGTAATCATGACTATGTTATGAACAGTGCGTTCTGCCGGAGAATTTACAGTTTTGTGAATTAACCGGTAGAACTTAAAATGAGCAAAATAATTTTAGGAACATAATTTGAAAATTCTGATGACAAATATGAGTTCAGAACGAAAAATTGTATAGTCTGGCACTTTCCGTGAAAATCTCGTGAATAGTGTTTCTACCGGGTATTTTGTACTGCTGTTTAAGCAACCGGTAGAGTCCAGAAATAAATAATTGATGAAATAAGAATAAGAAAGTCCAATATATGCCAAGCAAGTCAATATAGGCCCAAGAAAATGATAAGTTTATAAGTTTTAATTTTCGTAAGTAAAGGAAGTACAATTAGTGATGCACAGTGCATTTCGTCAAAAACGGTGCAAAAACCATACTGTGAATTATGAATATTGTTCCTTAGGAAATAAAAAATTAATGTAAATGATTTTAGGAAATAAAAAATATGTTTGTAGCTTTGAGTTAGTTCCGGGTCAATTTAAGTTAAAATACGCGATAAAAAAACATCCGATGAAAATGGCCACATGTGCCTATATAGCCTTGTCACTTAAATGAAACACTATTTATTTCAGATTTTCTTCTTCTCTCTCTTGCATGGCCGAGCTGCACATGGAGGGGAAGGGGCTAGGGTTTCAAATTTTCCTTCTTTGATTTCTTCATCATCCATCCACCAAATCCAATGACCCACCACATGAAATTGATTGGAAACCACTCAATGAATCCATTCCACCTATCCATTTGAGCTATAGTTGAGTGTGTGAAGAGTTATTCCTCCTCTCATTTTCGAGTTACTATTCATTGGAGGAGAAAAAGTGAGTTTTTGGATGGAGCTTGGCTTGGAGATTGCTCTCTAGGCTTTGTACAAGTGTTTAGAGGTAAGAAACCTCTATTTCCATGATATTATTTTGATGATTTAAGTTATGAAATTGATGAGCATATTTTGTTGGGAAATAATTGATGTTAGAATGTGAAATTTATGATGGATTATTGTTGTTTAGGAAGTTATAGTGTTGAGTAAGCATCCACATGTGATATAAAAATTTAAAAGTCCTATTGCATCTTCCTCCTAGGTTTCGGCCATCATGGAGTGAGTAGGAGTTATTGTGGAAAAAATTATATTATGTATTGTGAAGGTATAGTGTGTTGGAAATGAGTGAAAATGGATGAGTTAGTAAGAATGCCTAAGTAAAAAAAGGACTTGGTGTCTAAACTCAAAATAGGAATTTAGTGGAAGCATTCCTAGGTGTTTTCAAGTTGTAATGAAGTAACGAAAATGCATTGTAAAAGAGAAGGATCTTTGGAAATTCCCCTTGTAGGATTCAACCTATAGGGTATTTAGGGATATATTTTGTACATTTTATTTTAAATAAAATGTGTTGTAATAAATTGTATAAAGGTGATGAGTTTTGAAGAAAAATAGCATGATTTATGTTGAAAATTCCTAAGGGAATGGTTGATTAAATTAAAGAACACCAACGGTTATAAAGAGGTCTAGACTTGTGTATTGGCATAGGATTGACAAAAATGCAAAGAAAGGAAAATAAGCGATAAAATGTATGCTTATGAAATAATTATGGTATTGCATCATTTTATTGATGCATTGTAAATTATTCTCTAGGTGTGCCTAGGGATTGAGAAGGATCGGAAATCTCTTGAAGCGATAAAAGTAACTTGTTCCACAAGTAAGCGTATTGGTAAAGCTTCAAGAGGTAAGCTCTATGTTTAAGGAGTCTTTTCTTGCTTGAGTGCTCCACCATGGTTAGTGAACTATGGTTGGACTGTATGACTGTGATTTAGATGCCTTGTATAGATGCATTCATATAGAGTTATTTGATAACATGATATGTTTTGCTCTGATATGACTTCTGTAATTTGATTTCTGTAACAATCTCTGGCCATTGATTGTATAGTACCCGGACGTCCGCTTTGGGGTCCTCCCTCGGGACTGATGGTGTACTCCTCTGATATGTCTGGTTCCGCTTTGGGGTCCTCCCTCGGGAACACGTGCGTTGATTTCCGCTTGGGGTCCTCCCTTGGGAATGACGGCGCACATCTCTGATATGATATGGATATATGCTCTGTTCTGTTATGATATCTGTTATATGTTGTATTTGTATACTCTGTATCTGACTTTCATGCAGGAGTGAGCCAGGGGTATGGAGAATTCTCTATAAACCTGGAGCTTATTGAGATTTGTAATCTCACCCCTCCTTGGGGACACATTTTCAGGTGCCCAGATTTCCGGTGAGTCCTCACTAGGCAGGGACACGACACGTGGCTGAGGCAGTTGACAGACCGGATTTTGAGTGGCTGTAGGCTGCTACCTTTTTGGAGTGTTTGATGTATTTTAGTATTTTCGCATTTGATGGATCATGATATTGATCCTTTATTTTGTATATGGTCTGTATATGTTTTGTACATGTCTGTCAGTTTGATGCATGTACATTTGAGTATTCAGGAACGTTATATGATGATGTAGTATTCAGATAAGTTTATGTTTTGATGGTATGCTGTTAGATTTAGTGGCACGGAGCCATGTTATGCATGCGCCCATGTATGGGTATTCGATTATATTTGGATATCTGGTATTTCTGAATTGATATGTTGTATAAACTGTTTATCAGGAAATGCTTCTGAGTGGGATTGGAAAATCCCCAGTTGTCCGATTTATAGAGGAAACTCTGCCCGATTTTCGTTTACGCCGAGTAAGAATTAAGTTAGAAAAAGAAAAAGTTAGCTCATATTTTCGTAAGTTAAGTCTTCCGCTGTTTCTGTTTATATCATGTGTATGTTAATTGAACCGGCTCGAGACGGGGATGTAACATTTATGGTATCAGAGCAGTTTCTCTAGGAGAGCCTGTGAAATATTGCATGAACTGTTCGAGTTGTTATGTTCTTGAGTTTTTCTTGGAATACTATGATATGCATGTCTGATCACCGAGTGTGAGCGTAGCTAACTCATTCCTTTGTGTGAAATATGCAGAATTATGGTTCGCCCAAGAAGGACTTCTGATCCTCCTATTGACCCGACCGATCCAATATTAGCAGATTTGGCAAGACCCCGACTTAACCCGCGGGGAAATACTTCACAGCCAGATCCAATGATAATGGCCTTAACTGAGATGCAACAAAATATGGCTGCAGCTAGGCAGCGAGAGCTAGAAGTGATGATGAAAGCAAATCAAGATCTGTTAGAGGCTAATAGGTTGGCCAATCAAGAAATGATGGCAGCAAGCAGAATGGCGAATATTGAAATGATGAGATTACTCTTGGTTGAGGTGAGGGCGGGTGGGCAAGGTCCACAGCCACAGCCTTTGCAACAGCCACAGCCTGAGCCACAACCACAACAGCCTGTTCCTCCTCCTCATAATCCCATTGTTGTGGAGGGTGAAGGAAATAATGATGTGAATGAAGAATCTAGTCACAGGGGTGGTGTGGCACAGCCAGCCACTAATAGAGAGCAAAGAGAAAGAATGCTAAATGCCTTCCGAAAACATGCACCACCAAATTATAAAGGAGGCATTGATCCTATTGCTGCAATTCAGTGGTTAGAAGAATTGGATCGCATTTTTACTGTCATGGAGTGTGATGATCAGCAGAAATTGTTGTATGCTTCTTATATGTTGCAGAATGATGCAGCTGATTGGTGGAGAAATACCCGTCTGCCCTTGGAATGTCAGGGTTATGCTATTACCTGGCCTTTATTTGAAAGGCAATTCTTGCTGAAATACTTTCCGGCTGAAGCCCGGATAAGGAAGAAGGGTGAATTTGAAGAACTAAAGCAGGGTCAGATGTCTATTGATGAATACTTGAATAAGTTCAATAAGCTGGCCAAATACTCTCATTTCCAGAGAGCTCCACCTACAGAGGATGACTTGATTTTTAAATTTCATAGAGGATTACATGATAACATCTCTGAAAAACTTGCAGGTGACTCATTTGATACTTTTGCTGCACTTGTTAAAAAGTGTAAAAATATTCAAGAATATTACAGAAGGAAGCATAAGGACCAATCTGCTCCTAATTCTGGTCCTAAAAACACTTCTGGGAATTCTAAAGGAAAAGGGTTGCAGGTTAGACAGTCTGATGGTAAGTTCAAAAAGGCGGGAAATTCTAAGCCTGGAAATATTAAGCCTGCTTCTCTATGTGCTACATGTGGTAAAGTTCATGCTGGGGTTTGCAGAAAAGAGCAAAGATTGTGTTACAAATGTGGCCAACCTGGGCATTTTATTAGGGACTGCCCCTTTAATGGGGGACAGGTTTCTACTATTCAGGCCACTCCGGCTCCTATTGTGGTTGAGGAACCATCTCTACCTCTCCCACCTCCAGTTGCCCGAGTATATGCAGTGACTCAGCAAGAGGCTGAGAGGTCAGCTAGTTTGGTGCGAGGTATGATTTCTATTCATGATGAAATGCTTAGTGTTTTGTTTGATTCTGGTGCCACGCATTCTTTTATTGCTGATTATGTAGCTGAAGCATTTGGTCTGCATGTGATAAAAATGAAAACTCCTATGCGTATTGTTACGGCTGTGGGAAGAGTTTTTAATGAAGACTATGTTTGTGAAAATGTGAATTCAAGTATGAAGGCAGGGAATATTCTGCCGACTTTATTGTCTTGCACCTTGCTTCTGTGAAGAAGATTGACTGCTGCAGTAAAACCATTTCTGTCTCATCTCATGATGAAGAAAGGGAGTCTCCTTATTTGTCTGTACTTCAGGTGGTAAAGGCCTTGAAGGAAGGAGATTTCGGGTATGTTTTATTGGGAGGTTTGGTTGGCGTCAACAAGGAGCCAGTTTCTGTTATTCCGATTGTCTCTGAATTTGAGGATGTCTTTCCGGATGAAATTCCGCACTTCCCTCCAGAGAGGGAAATTGAATTTGCAATTGACTTATTGCCTGGTGTGGGAACTATCTCTCTTGCCCCATACCGGATGTCACCTCTGGAATTATCCGAATTGAAGAAGCAGATTGAAGACTTATCCAGAAAAAATTTTATTAGGCCGAGTGTGTCTCCTTGGGGAGCCCCGGTGATCTTTGTTAAGAAGAAGGATGGGTCTATGAGATTATGTACAGACTACCGGCAGTTGAATAAGGTTACTGTTAAGAATAAGTATCCTTTGCCGCGTATAGATGATTTGTTGGATCAGTTGCGTGGTGCGACTGTATTTTCTAAGATTGATCTCCGGTCCGGGTATCATCAGATCCGGGTAAAGCCAGATGACGTTCCGAAGACAGC